CTCTGGATGGGGTTGGGGAGGGAAGAAAAAAATTATTATTTAAGACGAGGGGAAATGCAGAGTACTGAGCAGGCAGCACCATCTCAGTTGTTTTAGATAGAGCATAACCTACATTTTGGTTTCAGCATGTGTGTATATACTTTTCACTCTTTGAATGAGCTTGAATATTTATTTTTTCCTTTTGCAACAAGCATCCACCTGGGGAAGAGGTTGGCTACAATTAAGAAAACCAGTTAAACATCCTAAATTTGTCTCTGAAATATACATAATTGAAATATGTAATCTTGAGCTAACATACCTTGTGTGCAGGTTTCATTGGTGTTGATGAGTTAGATTTGGGATTTGGATCTGCTCTTCCCCATTTTGTTGGGAGGGTTTAAGACTGTGCGCCCCATCCCCTTCTCTCACTGCATATCTCTCATTTTAGCTCAGATGCAGGTAAAGGAGAGCTTGAGCCTGTGAACCTTTAGTGCTGAGGTCCTGAGAAGTTATACCCAAAACATACCTGGAATACTGCCCCTTTATTTTTCCAATAATATGAACAATATTCCAGTTTGGTTCCTGGAGCAGGAGTTTTCTTCCCCAAGGTGGAGCACAGCTCCCCAACACATTGTGAGGAGGATGCTTGTGTGCATCCCTGCTCAGAAGGTTATGAGAAGGAAAAGAATTCGTTGCTTTCCTCAGCTAACAACCAGGGGTTGCTTTCTGGGTGGCTTTTCTACTAACATAAAACATAGTCCAGGATTTCAGAGAGGTTTTGGGGCACTTGGGCCAAATCTGAAATGAATCTAGATGCTATTTTTTTGTTTTATTTGGAAAACTTCTGTAGGTGTTTCATGTTTCCAATCTGCATGTGGTATTTGCTTTGAATCTTTACGTCCGTCGGAATCCAAAGCCAAAAAGGTTCACTCAAAGTGTTGTGACCCAAAACTGTTTAATCTTAGATCTGCAGTCTTGGAGCCCGCAGCTCGACGTGAATACCTGATGAGTATCAGCTGAGCAAGCATCGCAGCATCTGACTTCTGCCCATGAACCAGAAACCTTTTCCCCAGGGAACAAGGGAGTAAATTGGCCTTTGTGTGGAAACAGGCGGCTAGACCGGGGCCGCGGTTTCCTCGCGCTCCGTACCAGACCCTGGAGTGCGCTGCTCTGAGGTTCTCCTTCCTTCCAAGCGAAGCCATATGAAAAAAAAAAAAGAAATCCGCTTTTCTGAGAGTGGCTGAACCAACCAATTTGTTCAAGCTAATCTTCTGATTTACTCATTTTTAACTGAAAAATCAGTGATATATTGAAGGCAACTTGAAAAAATATGTGGAAAGGGAGGAAAGAGAAACACAATCTAAACCGTTTTAAGCTCACAAAAGAAACAAACAAACAAAAAAAACTCTCCATAATGGTGTAAATTTTAATCCTATGTTAGAGCACGATGAGTTAGATATGAGTTCATCTAGAAAATAAGGCCTTAAAAGTAAGGTCAATATTTATGATTAAGGGGTCACACATGATCAGCTCAGTGGGTCCTGTTTGCAAGGGAGAAAAAAAACAAACCAAACTGATGTAGAGATACCCATTAGATAGGTCTTCATTTGACTTGGCCAAGGTTTTTACGTGGATGTCATTCCTAACTACTTTTTTGTATCAGTGTACCCAAACAAAAGGCCCCGAGAGCCTCAGCGGCACATGGCTTGAAGAAAGAGATGGGCACAGATTAATGGTTACTGTGTCTGTGTATATGTTCTCAGTGGAAAAGGGTGATGTGTAGAAGTGTAAGTGAACAGAGAGCACAAGCCTGGAGCCAGAAGTTCTTGGTAAAAATGTGCTTCGCTGGCATAATATGTAAAAAACATCGGCTGTCTTCAGTCAGGTTTTGCTGGGCTGTGTTATCAGGCTCTTTCCTGCTCACATTTCAAGCTCACTTTATCCTTGATGAACATTGACTTACCTTATGCCCAGCAGTAAGGCAGGCAGCAATGTGCCCATCAAGCTGAAAGGACAGGTGGCAGCGATGTACCCTCCCACACCTGGGAGCATGGGTCAAGGACCAGGTTTAATTTAGTTATGAGGAATAAAATGATGTTAAGCGTACATAGTGCCATAGACCTGTTTTCCTGGTATTGATGGATTACAGAGTTCATTGGGCAGCTCCATTTGTAGTTACCAAATTTGCAGTGGGTAAATTAACACTAACAGAGGTAACTTACTGCAGTGTGAGAAAGTACATGGTTTTGGCTCTTAATGTTTTACATGAGCTATAAAATGTTGTTGATTTTTAATATTTTATTTACTCACCCACAGTAGATGACAGAAGTGGCTGCTTCCCAGCAGAACAACTAAGTCAATTGAGTCTGTTTATTGTGAACTTTTTACCTTGTTTCTGAGTAGCTGTTCTTTAGATGCATCCATCAACTCTTCCTCATACTGTTTCCAAATAGCAATTCTCTTTCTTTGTCTTTGGGTTACTAAAGCTGTCGTCTCACTGGAAAGGTTACGGTGTTGTCAGAAATTGCATATTATGTCCTGGATTAAGGCTGTTTAGCTTTAATGTGACAGGTTGTTTAAAAATAGACTGCTTTATGCTTTGTATTCATTCTACTCACCAAAACTGTCTTTCATAACAATGTAAATAAAGAACTCCCAGAACTGATACAGCAGAGCTGGCACAGTTAGAAGAAAAGTCTCGGCTATTACCCAATTGACATTAATGCAATATAAATCTCAATTATATCGAACAAGCATCAGACTGCAAGGTCTTGGGAGATGCAGTCATTAGGTAACAGTTTACAATGAACATTTGTCTTCAAACTAAATCTCAAGCCTCCTTAATTTCCTTTGTAGTCTCTTAAAGGAGTTGGAAATGAGAGGTGTAATATGGATTCACTTTATGTCCAGCTCTTTTAGCAGTTGGAAATGAGAGGTGTAATACAGATTCACTTTATGTCCAGCTCTTTTAGCAGTATCCAAAGCTGACTTGCCAGCATAGGCTAGAAATTGCTAAAATAATCATTTCCAATTGTGCAGACCATGGACTTAATCGCATCTGCACATGACGAGGTTGCAGGCGGTGTTAACAACTCCTGGGTTACTCCTGTGTGCTGTCCCTTCACTGCAGGGAGCTGGAAGGTCTCTGTCCTTCTGCTCACCCACATCTGCATCACAGGAGTGCAACTTGCAAGTCTTGCCCAAACTGGATACTGACTGTGATGTTCTTCCTTTTAACCCCTACTAAGATTTTCTGTCCTCAGACGTTTCCATGTTCAGTTGTTGCATGGCAGCAGGATTCTAGATGTTGTTTCCAAAATACTACTTTTTTTTTCTTGACCAAATTGCTTTCAGATAAAAACAGTAAGTAAAACGGATGAAATGGTTTCTTGCAGTTTTTTCATACTCTCAGTTGAAAAGCTCCAACCTGAGCTTTATGTGGGAGCTACGTGCATTCACCCTTCAATATCAGCACTCCTCTAAATTGTCTAAAAGCATCACTACTAACTCATTAGTCACTTGTTTAAAAACTTGGCATCCCTCTCCTACAGCTTTATTAGGATGTTTCCTCCTCTCTAAGAAACCCTGGGCTTTCTCATCACTGCTAGCAGAAGGGGTAAAGTTAAATCATTACCGAGTTGCCCTGGATTAAATGCATCCAGGAGGAATCTATCAAAAGACACCAAAGGATTAAGCAAGGCTGATGTTCAAAGCAGCCCCTGCGTGGGGCAGCTGCAGCCTGCTGAGGCTTAGGCTTTGCCCGAGGGTCAGACCACCACAATTAGCCAAGAGAGTGGTACAGGTATAAATGAGCTTTAATAGCTTGGTTGCATCTGGGTTTCTGATGTTGGGAAAGGTGCTTCATCAGTCATGGCTCCCCTCCAGAGAAGCTTGAATTCAGGCTGGAGGGAGTAAATGTTCCTCTTGGGTGTAATGTGGTATAATCATGTATGCGGTTTCAAGAATTAAGGATGCTGAAAATATACATTTGAAAATTTTAATTATTCTTTTTGCAAGCAAGTTGCTTGCAAGCTCTGATAGGTGTTGTCAACCAAGCCCTTGCAAGGGCACTGTGGGCTTCTGGCTCCAAGTTGCCATCCCCACAGGGAGAGGAGCGTGCAGGGCTTGGATTCACTCCTGTAGCCCCCTGCAAGGGCTGGGATCTCTGCTGGCGACGTGGGGAGAGGGAGCGCTGCAAGGTTGATCCTGGCTTTACAGAGAAGATCTCCAGGCCATGGCTGGAGATGCAATTACACATTTGGGCACAGACATGTTTATGCAGAAGGAAATCTTGAAAGGAGTGCAGAAATATTTAATGATCTTTGTTTATCATCAGTAAGGGACATGTTATGGCTTTGGGGACCTGGGTGCTTGATGTGTGCTGGAGCAGTTTATTGTTTAAGTGCCTTTTTTTTCTTGATTTAAGAGTATTATGTCATGTATGGTATTTTATCGATCACTTAGCCATCAGTATGCAGAAAGGTAAGAATAAAAGCAAGTTTTATATCTGAAACCTGGGCTTGAAATTATAAATGTGCAATCAGATCTAGGCTGTGTTAGCAATCTGCACTAAACTTTCTCTCTTTCAGATAATGATTAGTAGCAAAAGCTTTCTGTTCCTCATTTTAATACTTTAAGCGTTATGATTTCAAGACTGCACTGTCCACATGCAGCATGCGTGGAGTGCGCAGGACTGCCAACCGCTCTGCAAAGTTTTCTCTGGCATTTTGGACCATTTAAGACTTCGTTACTTGTACTACATGGGCAACACTAATAACTTCAAATCCTGCTCTCCAGCTTGCCTAGGAGCCTGGCCTTGGCGTTTTCACCAAAATTATAAATTTTGTGGGGAAAAAAGTGGTATTTAAGCTATGCAACCTGCTATTTTCTCAGTAGTTGGGAAAAGGAGGAAAGCACGTGGCAGTCTGGATCAGAAGGGAAGGACATGTGGCGAGTCCCCTGCTGACCTCGCTGCCTGTGGGACATCACTAACCCTCTGCTCTCTGCTTCCCGCAGGCCCTCCAGGGAGGCGAGGGAAGCCCGGCCGGCGCGGAGAACCCGGTAAGCATCGCCTTTCCCCAGCAACGTCACTGGGCACCATGTGGGTGTCACTGGGCACCATGTGGGTGTCACTGGGCTGGATGGGAACCTTTGAATAACTGTGCTGGTCACCTTCACCTATTAGGCTGCAGAATGGGGGCTTCCTGCAGCCTTGCGTGCTGAATATGAAGGCTTTTATAAAAACCAAAAGAATAAACCAAAGCACTAAAACAAACAAAAAACAACCAACCAACCAAAAACAAACACACACACTCCACAGAAAAGACAAAAAACCCTCAAACACCCACTGATGGTGCACATTTTATCAGTCCCTCCATTTCTCTCTTGTAGCATTCAGACCCACTGTTATCCCATCCAACAGTGAAGTGGGACTGTGAATTAGAACAAAAATACAGAAGATGCCCAGCCATGCTAGATGGGAGGTGAGCATGGGCTTGTTCCCTGCACATGGACGTGTCCACACGTTGCCTGCAGGTCCCACATGTGTGATGGATTGTGTCTGCATTTTGGGGTCAGAGATAACCAGACTTCAGCCTCCAGCCTTGGGCACAGCCCCTGGGTGCTCAGGGTGCCCTCAGACTGGGCAAAGCTGCAGTCCAGCCTCTCTGGGAATTTTTATTTGAGCTGTTTGATTATATGGCTCTGGTATGTATGTTTGTTTGGCTTTTTTCCTGTCTTGTGAAATGGGAAAGCACTGATCCCATTTGAGCGGGAGAGAGGAGCTGTTTGCATTCTGCTGTTTGGTCTGAAGTGCTGCTGGAGAGGGGAGAGACATGGTTGGCATTGCATTTTCCAAGGAAAACAGTCAGGCAGCAACGTACCTGGAGAGCCACACAGTTTGCAACTGCCTCTGTGTGTTGGAAAGCAGCAGATGAAATTTTACGCTCCTCGGCTCTTAGGTTCATGAATGTTGAGTGAATGAATGGGGACCAGGTAGGTTTTTATGGGTTGAGGAGGCTGTTCTCTGCTGCCTGTTGCTATAGCAAATAGACAGCTGGGTTTTCAAAAACGTCAGCATAACTTTCTGGTCACCAGTATTTTAAACAGGGGTTTTTTAACTCTGAGGAAAGGAAATCAGGGGTTTTGTGCTGCAGACTGTGCACTGATCTCCATGGAAGGCAGGCGGGCATTTTCCTTCTCTCCCACTGATGGTATATCATGGTGTGTCATATATTTTCTGAGAAATTTTTGCTCCTGAAGCATCAGGGATTATTTATGGCCAAGGGGTGGACACTGCACTCATGTAGGGGTAGTGTTGGATGCCAGCTGGCTTCATTAAACCCCATTTTCCTAGCAGTTGGGCTGTAGGAATAGCCACCGGATGGTTTTGATTCTTTTGTTTGGCTGCTCTTTTTTAAATATCACTGCTCCTTAAAGCCCTTAGTGGAGTACAGTGTTCAACCAAGGACAGCTGTGAGGTCAGCCAATTAATTTGGTTTTTATATGCAGGTATTTACATAAATGTTGTCTAAGGCGTCTCTCTAGCCCATACAAAAATTTGGGAGGTAGCACCGAGCTTGAGCCTGCCCTTGCCTCTCACTCCCTTCGCCCTGTTTCACATCAGAGCTGCTGAAAAGCAACGTTCACCCTTGTGCTGTGGCATGTTTGCGAGTGCCACTTCAGCATCACTGTGACAACGTGGAATGCTGCCAGGGAATTGATGCAAGGCCAGCAGGAAAACAAACATTATAAAACAAAACAAAACAAAAAAGACCTAAATATCAATCATTAATCAACTTACGATCTTCTTGGAACTTATCTGAGGTTGTGGAGGAAGATCGAGGAGAGTGAGATACCGTTGGGGAAGGGAGATCCGTAGGGCATGCGATGGCAGTGGGTGCTCGGATGGGTTTCTTCTTCTGAAGCAGAAGGACAGCAGCATCAGATACCCACTCACACACAAACGTGCCCAGACACCCTTGGTGGGGCTCGCTGCTCACATCTGTGTAATGCGATGCAGCCCCTGCAGATTGCTCCGCTGTATTGCAGATAGAAAAGCAGACATCCCTCTGTGTATTGGTTTTGGCCAAGCTGCCAGATGCTTGTTTTCCTAGATAGCTTGAATATATATTTCTGTATTTGTTTGAGAACCTGACCACACATAAACCAGGTCGTTGTTCCTTCACCACAGCTGAAAAATGTGAATAAAACTTTGTTTGCGTAGCATGATAGCGTCCATCTCCGGGGACCCTGCGTGGTTATAGCTTGACAGCCTCCAGACAAATGCTGTTGTAGAGCCAGGAGGCTCAGCGCTGGTCTCCACACTGCCAAAGGGAACGTTTTTTCTGGCAGTTGTTGAAATGGACATGTTGAAAAACTTTTTCTGATTCGTATTGAAACTTTCAATATGTATCTCTTAGAAAGAAGCAGAGAAACTGTTAAGAGATTATTCTGTTCCTTTTCAATTGCACCCACTTGCTGACTTAAACCAAGACTGAATTTTACTTTTTTTCTTTTGCCATGATGGAGTCACATAATTAAAGAAAAAAAAAATCCAACAGCTCTTTTTCTCTAAACTAAAAATTCATCGTCCTGAAAGTGCACAGAGAGAACCACTCTACCATAAAAAGGCACTACACCGTAAAGGTTAGTTTTAAACCATTTGGGAGATGGGGAAAGGGGGGAAATTACTATTTAGACTGTTTGGAAGTGAGGCAAGCCTGGCTGCATGTGCTTCAAAAAGCACTTGCCAAAATGCAGAGGTGAGCCATCATTGCCGCTCCCCAGTTTCTGCCAAGGGCAGGTAGTGGGTCCTGCTGGGTCCCTGCCTCTGGGCTTGGCCAAGTGTATTTTATTGTAGAGCAGCATAAATACAACAATTTCCCCACCCCCCCCCCACGTTAAGCCTACGGGTAAGGGGGGTTGGGCTAAACCCCAGCCTTTCCTCATGCTTCACATCTCCGATGGCAGCATGAGATGCCCATGGCAGCACGGTCATCCTTGCTGCCATCTCTTCCCTGACCTCAAACATGAAGACCGGGTACCTGGGGGCGCATTTCTGCCAAGCAAACCAGGGAGTAATTGAATCAAACGGCTCCATCTGACCCATTTTATTTACTCTCACTGTCCTCTGGCCCCATGGAAATCGCCGGGGCACATGTCCTGGCACTGGTCCCAGGGCTGGAGTCACTGCAGTGACAGTCACCTAAGTGCTACCAGTGTGGAAGAAGTTACTTTTAGAAACCAATTTATTCTGCAGTTGCTACCACGAGGCCAGGAAATTCACACCAGCAGCCTCCTTGGGGAGGTGTCACTCCTGAGCTGGCCCAGTTCAGTCCAGCGTGGCCCAGGCTCCATCCCATCCTGCCAGGAGCGATGCCAGGTCACATCATCCTTATCCCTGCACACGAGCATCAGCAGTTTCTTGTGCAACTGGAAAGCAAGTGCAGTGTTGAAGACCGACATACACCCACTGTGGAGAAGGTGTATAAGAAGAAAAACATATTTTAATGCAACCTTATGTGGGATTTGCAGCCCTCCGAGTGCGAGGTGGCAGGAAAGCTTTGCAGCTCTAGCTGTTGTGGTTGGTCCTGACAGCCAGCCTGCACAGCTCACATACAGTTCTCTTTCCATGCCAGAGGCAAAATCGTGTTTAATGTCATGTTAGCTTATTTTTTTAACATGATACGTCCCAATGAGGACACAGTTCAACTGTTGTAGTGAGCGTTTGTGAAATAACATGGACTTTAGCAGGGGAACTGGGAGGTTTTGCTTCCCCTCTTGCTGCCAGCTGATGCTGTGTGAGCAGGATGGGGTACGGCCGTGCAGCCCTCCCGGGGCTTTATGTTTATTTTTTTTAAAGATTGATCCATACCAGGGTGTTCCTGACGGCTGGATGAATCAGATGCAGGATTTGGGAGTTTGCTTGGTTTAAATATTGATTCAAAGTCTATGCACAACTAGATGGTGGGAGATGATGCTCAAGTTTCTCGTCACGGCATGCTGCTTTCTTCTCCTGGCTTGAAGATTGTGCCGAACACTGATCTGAACCGCAAGAACAACCTGGGAGAAAATACACCTGAAATGTTAAACCTGGGAAGTCTCTGATTATGTCTCTGCCCACCTCACATGACGCAAGAGCTGGTTCTGGACATAAACCCCCCAGACCTGATCACTGTGGCATTGGGCAGTGCCTGTTTGCATCACCTGTGAGTTGCTTCAGCAGAAGGGAATAAACTTTGGCCACTTTAGGCACAAAATTGCCCTTATGAATGGGCCTGGAAGGGTATTTTTTTGTGAAGTGTTATTTCATAGAAAATATTGGCTTGGCAAAATTGCTGTTTCTGGCAGTAAAAGTTTTGTTTACAGATTTTTCCATTTCAAAACCACTTTTAGGGAAAATGTTTTGAATTTATTGAAATGGGCTAAGTCTTCTGCCCCACCCCTCGTGACTTTTTGTTTCAAATCTACATTATGCTACATTTCTTTAATTTGAACGTCTAACAAAATTTTGATTCAAAGTATTTCCTTTTTTTCTGACAACTATTCTGTTTACAAAAATATCCTGATTTGAAACAGGAAAGAAGCTAAAGCTCTTTTTAAGGAATAAATGCATAGCAATTTCTATGCAGGGAAACGTTATTTCTTAATACACGTGCTTAACCCCATATTTTACACATTAAGATCTTTTCAAAGCCCTTGGCCATGTGATTGTGTGGACAAGTGTAAATATACAGTTGTTATTCAGTAAGCACACGTGTGTGTGTGCACATGTATGTGGGTAAATCATGCAGAACTTTGTATTTATTGGGGAATTTTCAGTGCTTCCTGTATTTCTCACGATGGGATGCATATATGTAGGCTTATACTTGAGGTTACTTGGCTTCTACTTAACTTTAGGAAAAATCTAATCTGTTCTATGTTTGCTCTCAGTAAGGAGCCTCTCTGGTAGGACAGCACATTGCCTATGTGCACAAACACTGAGACACAGATAAGAATTATTGAGGTCAACAGGCAGTGACAAATACTCATTCTCAGACTGATGCAGAGCTGATCTCTGCAACGTCTTAGTACTGCAGCAGTCAGTTGTCCTCCTTCCTTGTTGCCCATGGCTTAGTTATTTGCCTTATAGCATCCTGGATTAATAACTGTGTGTATGTATGTACATATTGTGTGTATGCCCAGAGAGGTTGTGGAGTCTCCTTCTCTGCAGACATTCAAAACCCACCTGGACGCCTTCCTGTGCAACCTCATCTGGGTGTTCCTGCTCCGGCAGGGGGATTGGACTGGATGATCTTTTGAGGTCCCTTCCAATCCCTAACGTTCTGTGATTCTGTGATTCTGTGATTCTGTGAAATACACATACATATGTTTTTATAGAGGTATTTATAGGTTGAGGTTTTTAATTGTGTTTTTTTACATCTTCAGGTGTCCACAGATGTGCGTATGCTATCTTGGGAATGGGTGCTTTGGCCATTAAGGGCAGCAGCAAAGTCCCCTCTGACTCCTCCTGGGCTGTTGGGAAGGTCTGGCTGGTTGTGTTCCCCCCGCCTGGCAGTGCTCTCTCCTGTCATGGCAGGAAAGCTCGGATGAGAAATGATTTACAGATTAAACATGGTAGCTTATCTCCAAAATTCCCAAGCTGCAAAAATGCTTGGAAACAAATGACTGTGACCCGTTATTTCTTATATGTTTATGTACTGCTGGCATGATAGCACCATGACCTGCTAGGTCTTTAGATATACAAACTAACATTAATGTTAGTCGATCAGGAAATCTGGGTCATTTATTTTTAATGAGTTTCTACTTTCCCTTCCCTCTAGCACACCTGTTCATGTTCTCAATGAATCTCTTGGTGTTTCCAAATATCTCCATGCCGTTACAGGCTTGGACACTGGGTGCTCGCTCCCAGCAGCACAGCAGTGGCATGTGCTATGGATGGTGGGGAAGCAGAGCACTTTTCCCTCCTTTCAGCAAATCAATCATAGGAGAAAACCTGTGCGTTTGCAGGTTATTTTTGTCTGTCTTCTCTTCCTTCTGAAATAAGCCCCCAAGTAAATTTGTTACAGAGTTTTAAATACACAGAGGTTGTTTCCAAATTTTATTCATTATAATAAGCATTTCCAAGTGGTTTCATTCTTCCTTTCAAGTCCTCAAACTGGTTCTCGCTAGTCAAAATTATTAGCAGTAAATTCTGGCAAATTTCTCTGAAAAGGGCTTGTTTCTTGTGTAATGTGCCTACATTGAGGAGATGGCTGGGTGGTGGGCAGCCCCTGGGTATTCAATTAACCTCTTTATTTATTGTTGGCTTGCAAAATATTTTACTTTCTTCCATAGGAAACAAGTGTCTTGTGGCTAGGCTTTTGAAAAACATGTTTAGCAAGCCAGAAAGTGATGTTGTTCTTGGGAGGAGAAAAGATCAGTTCAGTAGATTTAACTGTATGCCTTAATGAAGATTTATCTAGCCCCATTTGGCTGACAGCACTGCTAAAGATTAGCGTTAATTCCTCTGATACGGATGGAGAGCATCCCATGTTGCATATACAGACCCCCCATCCAGCTTCTTGTATCTGAGAGGAAAGCATTTCAAAAGAGCATTTGCCTGCACGTGCTGGGAGAAAAGAGTGGCTGAGAGAGAAAAATTCCAAGGAGAATTCCAAGGAGATTACAATTGGTACATGATTGAAATCCCATATTAAAATAATTTCCTGACTGCTTCTTATTCAAGACTTAATTTTGACTTTTTGACAAAAGGTCTTTTGTGGGTAGCTTGGCTTAAGCGAGTCAATAAATCAGGTTTGTGATTCTCAGTTAATAAATTGGCATAGAGCCATTGACTTATGTATTCATAAGAAATTAAACCAAGGAAAGTGAGCTAAAAGCCTGTGTGAATTTTGGCACTAAAGAAAATAGGCTTCTGGGCATGGAGGGCGATTTGGAGGTTGTCTCCTCCTCTCCTCCCCTCCACGCCAACCAGGTGCTTAGCCATGGTTGTGTGCAGAGGTGACCACAGTAAGCTGACAAACGCAGGTTAACAGGGTAATTCTTGGCAGCAGGCGCTGCCTGTTAGCATTTACCTTCAGTCCTTGTCCTTAGGCTTTTATTGGGTTTTGTCATTCAGCTTTTCAATGTTTTAATTTTTAAACAAAGTTTAAGAACCTTGGAAAGGCATTAGCTTGAAATATGCTACTTGTTTTATATTCTTGAATAATAGAAGATGAACCAAGCTGATTTTTTTCTCCATTTTAATTTTCCTACATTTTTTCTTCTTTTCTTTTTTCTTTTTTCTTTTTTCTAAATTTTTATTAGTTCCTGGTTTTGATGAGGCAGGAAATGGAGCATGAAGAAGCCCCAAACAGAGCTATAGGCTGCCTCAGTAACAGGAGGGAAGCATGGATTGCATTAGGTTTAGGGGTTCAGCGTCCGCCTCAGTGCAGCACCAACCTGGGTGAGCAGCGGCAAAGCTGCAGCAATTGGTGTGGCAGGCGGCAAAGACCCCTGCAGCACAATGAAATATAGAGGAATTCTTTTTTTCTACTGCCATTAATGGCAGCTTCAGGCTGTCGCACTGGTACTCAAAGCTATTGTAGGTGTGATGTTTTTTTCCCCTGGATGTAAGGCACCATGTGTCAGCCCACTGGCTGGCTCTGAGCACAGCAGAGTGGTAGGAGCCAGGGCTGTGTGGAGGTGACACAGGACCACGGGGCTGTGTGGCATGTTTGGAGATTGTGAAGGGCTGGGGACCAAATGACACCAATGTTGCTTTTGGCTCGTAAAATTCCAGCTGTGTCTGTAAGCTTTTTGCTGGCGATACTCTGCAGTGGCACATGATGGCCCTGAATGCAGGCACTGCCTTGTGATGTGCCAGAGGTCTCATAGGTGGAGGTGGAACAGAGTCACACTGGGGAAAAGGTGGGAACAGAGTGGTTTTACAGCCCTCATGAGTGCTGCTGGCACAAGTGAGATGGTCCCGTAACAGGAGGATGCGGATGATGCTAAGGGTATCTGGAAAGTCATCCCATTGGGATTGAACTGACAAGTACTGAATCGTTCTGATTTCTGTTCCTGCTATGTGCTGTTATATCAGATTATACTTTTTCTTTGTAATTAAGTGACTTTTTTTTCTTTGTTTTTCTTTTGTTTTCCAGGACCTGCAGTAAGTATCGTGGATTTTACTGTTGGATCAACCAAGTTAAGGCTTCCCCTTCCCCCTTCTCCTGCCTTTCGGTGTCATTGCAAAAGCACAGCATTTTTTGGTAGAGGTGTGTCTGGAAGCAAAATTGGTACCAGATGCTGCTGGGTTGGTTTTTTTTCACAATTGTAGACAAATAGAGGGTGGAGGAGGGAAAGTTTTCAAATGTTTAACTTGCTGCCCTGAGGGACTTCCAGTAATTTTAAACCCAGAAAATATTCAGTTGAAAAGTTTTTCCTTTTAAAGAGTTCTTTAGTCCCCTTCCATTTAGCGGAGAGTGCTGTACTAATATTTTAATATTTTAGTGGGTTTTTTTAGTTCTAAAACTCTCTCTTGCTTTTCTTATCTGTTGTGTTTCCATCGTTTAATATGGGTTTGGTAGCCTCACAAGTGAGGCTAGAGGGAAAGCTGTAGCTTGCTTGCTTCTTTCTTTGAAGTCTTCGGGAGAATAATGAGCATTCCTACCAATGCAACCAGAAAATTTATGAGGAATATGTTGTTTGAAGGGGTAATAGTTGAAAATGTGTCAACTCCTCTTTCCAAATGTTCAGACGTGCCTTTTCCTGTGCCACCACCACGTCCCAATCTGATGTGCTCCTGCTGGTTTTGGAGTGTGAAAATAAAGTTTCTTTTGTGGTCTCCAAGTTGCTGAGGCATTGTTAAAAAGAAATTATGAGTGTTAGGTGCTTCTGTTTATTTCTACCTTTCTTCCCCCAAAGTTGGAGGAGGAGGAGGTGTGCGGGCTGTTTGCAGCCACGCGTTTTCTTCTCTGTCGTTGCACTAACAGAGCCGTTTCTTTATGTAATTTTCTTCTAATAGACTCTCACTAGATTGAAATTGGATTGTTTCAGGAAAAGTAAATTTGCTAACTATTCCTGGGCTAATTAATTTCCAGTTCTGTAAATCTGTTTAAAAGCCAGAGGGTGCCAAGGAAATGCACGTGAAGCATGGGGACTGTCACAGCGTCGTGGCTTTGTTTCTCCTGGGATTGACAGCACTGCCCATGGGTTTAGTTAACAGCTTTCAACCCTTTAAATTTTTGCTTCTATTTCAAGTTTATTTTTTAATGTAAAGACTTGAGAGGCTTGAACAAAAATATTATTTGGCTAGGTTTTGAATGAGCAAATTGGCAAAATTTAAGAGTTAGCAGCTTTGGCTTAGCCATTCTTAAAAGAGATCTGAATGCTTTTGCTCTAAAAGTTGTGCCCAGCATTAGCAATAAATCCAAGACTCTGGCTCAAGAAATGCAAACAAATGCATTTTTCTTGTTAGTTTGTATTCAGAAATGTAGTCTGTCAATAAGCTAATTCTCCTGTAAATATTCTGTAATTAAAAACTGCAACGCAGCCTCTCCAACGCACACGATAAAAGTGTCTCTGTGGGGTTTTGGGATATCAGCGATGGGCACTGACTGCAGGACACATTCCCATGTGCCTGGCTCAGGGCTGGACGCTGCTGCCCAGCAGCATGGGTGCTCGCCAGCTTCACCAAATCCTGCATCGCAGTCTCATCAGCAGGCGAGATCCCGAGGTTGTGGAGCACATCGGCTGGGGCTGAGTGCAGGCGTGTGCCACGGGGAGCCCCTTTGGCTGCTACAGCCTCTCCCCACAGGGGTTTTTTTCCCTGCATTTTCTGCATTTCATGCAATTTGGCTTAATTATTTAAAAAACCCAAATTCTCACCCAATGGCAGGTTACAAGTGAAGAGGATACTGCCTGTTTGAAACTTCATATGTACATCTTTTAAGAGACATTTTCACCTTGATTAAAGTACTTTGGCTTATTTTAAATGGATTTATTTAACCGTTTAGGCTCTGCTCCTGCTCAGAGACTGTTATCTCAGCCCACATGCAGCCGCTTGCCTTGTGCTTCCTCACGTGTGCTGTCTGTTCACTTTTACTGTATGTGATTTGGCATAGGCAACATATGGTGCACTATTAATTTTTCTTTGTCTCTGGTTGGTTTCATTTCCTGGTTCCCACGGCACTATTGAATTGCAAACGAAGCACAGGGGTGATTTAACACAAACAATACTTTTTTTTTTCCTCTCCCCTTGCCCTTCTTTAAAAGACAACTCCTGGTTTAGTTCATTTAAAAAAAAATATCCTGCATTTTTAGTGCGAGCAGCATTTCCCAGAGACTTCTTTAAACATAATATGTATTCAAGTCCTAGAACCCACAGAACCACAATATTATTTTATTTCAACAGTACTATATTTAACTATATTAGTTTCTTCTGTTTCTTGATTTTGGCCATAAGGAATCGATTACATCTTACATGTACAGCATCGCACTCTGCTAGAACTATATCCTCAGTTCTGTTGTTCCCTAGTAGCAGTTGTTCTGGTATTTTATTTTTTGGCTGTCATAAGCTAGTTGTGTATATGAAATTATGTGAATTTGTGGTACAGGATTTGTGGCTGTCAGATGATTGATCGTCCTGTCTGTGAGTACAGGGTATTCTGCTCAGAGGTACTATAAAACCTCTGTTTCGGAAGGTATTAAAATCACATGCAGGGTAGGAAATTTCTACAATTGAAGGATAGACTTACCACAGACTGTAATTAAACATTTACAGTCACAGATATTAGCAAACACTTTATGTATTAGCATGCTGGCTGGGGAGCTCACCAGTGCGTGAGGGCTGGGAGTTACAAGTGTTTCCTATTTATCTGTGTGCTCCAGTGCCATACATCTCCATAAAAATCTCACTGTACGCTTTATCCCAAGACTGTAATTTGTTAAATAGGTGGTTGTTGAAGTCAGTGTTGTTTCTGGATGAACCAGTTGGGCTGCAGGAGGCATTAAAAGCTGCAGGGGCACTTAGTAAGATGGGAGAACCCCGGAACATGGTTGAAGGGGGCTGCCAGAGCTATTTCATGCCGTAAGAAATCTATGAATCTGACTGTATATCCACAGCATGCTGACATAACCTATGTTTATGGTAGCAGATGACATTGCTGTACCAGATACATGCTTTACTGCCTACTTGTGTACCAGCTAATACTTAACAGCTCCTTCCCGGGGATCTGCCTTACGTCTGGCGTGCAGCAGGCTCCACTGCTGTAGCTCCCTGCGTGTTTAACAGCAGCTTGAACTGTAAACGCCTTTGAGAACCCCCCGAGGAGAGCAGAAAAGGTGAAATATCCTGAATGGATTGTGTTTTATTCTGCTGATCTCACAGGTGTTACTAGCAACTTCAGTAAGGGCTTTCCCCATAGCATCAACTTTTCTTTCTGCTTCATTGCAAACCAAAGCGGAGCTTAGAGATGAGCTGGGAGAGCTGCGTCCTACGAGGAGATGAATGGAGCTAAGAAAGAGAATTTAATCAAGTGCTGGAGCAGTAGTTTGAAGCGATTTCTCCTGGGCAGAGAGGCTCTCCTGGTCGCTGGCTCAGCAGCACTGCAGCCTCGCCGGCCTCTCCCCGGCACTCAGGTGTCCCTGTTCCGCTTGGGGCCCACATCCCAGGGCAGGCTTACAGCCAGGATCCAGTGTGTATCCTGTACATCCGTGGCTTCAGGGGCAGCTGGGGCTGAGCACAGGTGGCAGGGATGGGTGTGAATTGGCAGAAGCCTGGGTAAGTAGCTAAAGGGAAGCATGAGATCAAAATCTGGGGAAAATATGCCATAGGTATGACCCTTTGCTGATAGGGAAATTGTCCTGAGAGGTTTCTCTGGAGAGAGTTTAGTCCTGGGGCTGGCTGGGGAGCTGATGGGCCCGTTTCCTGCCTGCTGCTATGTGTTGACATGGTGCTACGGGTGCATTGACTGACTTGTTATCTCACTTGTTCCCCCACCACAGGGGCAGTCAGGACGCGATGGTTACCCGGTAACTTGGCTCTTCCTTTTATTTTTATTTTTATTCTCTTCTAATCCGCGCTCCGTGGTCCTCTCAATCTTTTTCCATGACACCTGATTTTCTTTGCCTGTCTTGGTCTCTTTTCTTTTTGTTCTCCCTACCCCTCCACCTCTCCATCAGTGAGAGCTTTTGAGGGATTTAGCCCTAAAACTCAGGAACCTGTGCAATATTCTCCATTAATGTTTATAGGAGTGAAATATTTGAGCCTTTTCATGGTACTATTCACACTCTGGCCTAAGAGTTCACTGGATTGCAAAGTTAGTGAGGGCTTTGTGTTTATCCCACTCGTAGCTGTAGGTGGCCAAATTTTGGGACATTGGTGAAAGAGCTTCAGGTGTTGAGATAGGCCCTCATTCAACCATCTCCAAAATTTTTTTCCTGGGAGCAGAAGTGTTCTGCAGAGCCTGTTGGCAAGGAGAGATTTAGCAGAGGCTCAGAGGAGGCAGAAGGGTAATTTGGGAGACACTGCCCTTCCCGTGTCCACGGGCACCTCTGTAATGTCTCTGTTAAAGGGAGCTTTCTTCTGGGGGCAAAGTAGAGCTGGCAATCTGGGGCTGTTAAAGGCTCTGAGCTGCTCTCTGCAGGAGGAGGGAGCCCTGGTTCTGGCCAGATCCCAGCCTGCAGACTGGCTCGCTTGGTCCATGTTGCTGCACTTGGACAGCCACAGTGCTCGGGCTCCGAGGGGCTCCGTGGCTGCACTCCTGTGCATGCACTCGGAGAAACAGGTTGGTAAAAATCACTGTGTAGATCCTCCATGTTCACAGCACATTTCCAACTCTGCTTCTGCTTTTGGAATGGTTGCAGTGAGTCCTGCACTGTCTGATGCTTTGGAAAGGGCTTCTTGGCTGTTTGCCCTGCTGTTCCATTTATAAGGTACAGAAAAGCAATAAGCAGCTAGTCTTTTTCTTCCTGTGGTTGATGCCCTTTTTTCTCCTTTTTTTTTTTCTTTATTTTTTCCTGAAGCAGTGTGTTAAAAAAACTCCCTCCTTGTCCACCTCATGCCTGGCCCCATTCTCCTGAATGCCCATAAACCACAGAAACATCTATAGGATTTTTCCAATAGAAATAGATGTGTGATGGAGTGGGAGCATAAGGGAGGATGATTGGAAGGCAAATACAGAGCTGTTTTCAGTTTTTATTTCCCCTGGACCTCTGTGAGCCTCCCTGGGGAAGACAGCAGTGTTTCCCCAGCAGTACCAGCCCCAGAAGGAGAGAAGTGTGACATTGGGTTAATTTTGCAGAAAAAAAACCTGTGCTGCCATTGCATTGCACTCGGAGCTCCACCAATTGATCTGAATAAATTCAGTTTAGGATGAGGGAATGGTGGGGAAGCCTGCAAGCAGACAGCCTGCTGATTTCTACAGGAGGAAGGGCCAGGGTGGGCGCAGTGCAATGGTTTGTCTCCCTCAGGTGGTACCTGCCCGCAGTGGGAGCTGGCAAATGCACCAGTGGTTTATTTGAAACGAAGAGTTTAACTTATTAGAAATTAAGATGGGAGACTTTGCTTTAATTGGACTTTTGAAAGGCAGATTTAGGGTAGATTTCCGCTCATGCGGAACATGGCTAACCACTTCTGGGTTAGCAATGCCTGTGGCAGCTGTGTAGGTCATGTTCTGGCAAAGCTTGTGCCTGTGGTTTAGTTGCAGAGGTCTGAAAACAGAAGTGCTGGGAGGAAATCGTGACTTTTCCCTAGGACAGAGCATCACCCCCAGCCTATCCTGGTGGGCAGCCCCAGCACCGTGCTTATCCCAGCTCCTGGCGAGGGGTTTTGCTGCTGCTCTGGCTCTCCTGGCAGCTGTCAGGGACTGGCAGTGGCCTCCAGCTTTGCCACCACACCTGCACCAGGAAAATGTCATTAGCTGTGCAGCTGCGCCTATTCCTTTCTTTGCAAAACTGGCTGATCCAAACCCAGCAAACACGGATTTACTGCATCCATGTGGCTGTGGTCACACTAATTAGCTTTACCTAATAAGGAGGTAGCAATAATTGCATTTTCAAAGCAATAGGTATACCTGAAGAAGAAGGAAACTAAACATAAAGCAAACTTGAGAGTCTTATTCAGCAGAAGCGTATGGACAGGTTTTATTACATCCAGTTGCATAGTCAAATCAATTTAATTATTTAGTTCCCTTCAGGGTGATCAAATAAACTCTGAGCTGTTTTGGGAGGTGGATGTGGTGCAAATGCAGAAGTAGGAAGTGGATATTAAATTGTGTTTGGTGTCAGAGATCGGTGTGGTAACAGGTGCACCTCTTGGCTAGCAGTGCCATGAGCTCGTTTGTGAGCTGCTGGTGTGTAACTGAGTTGGAAGCAGTCGAAGCTTTAAAGGGATGAAGTGAACCAGAGCTCTGGAGACAGGCCCCAGAGGGAAAACAGCTTTTGTATGATGCTTTCAATATTTTGATACGTAACAACCTAAGGGGAGGGGTTTGTTCCCTACAATAAAACTTTACAGCAGAAATGTTTTTTTCCTTATGAAGTTCTGTTGGTTCATTATTATTTTCTAAACCCCAGAGAGGATTTAGTTTCTATATTTAGGACTATAGCACATCCTACTACCATTACCATAAAAGACTTGAAGAATGTTGGATTTTGTTGCTTTTCCGGTCTTGTTTGACTTGGTTTTGACATCCCATTGAACATGGATCACAGAACATACCTGAGCCTGAATTTCAGCGTAGGTTCCTATGGGCTGAGGGCTGCAGGAGTCTGTCTTCTCTCCCCTTTCCCAGTAACTTTTGAGCTTGGCCCATCTAAGGCAGTTTGATAGAAGGACAAAGACTCTGCAGATAATTAATTTAATGTGAACTTTTTATATCAGGGCAGGTTAAGGGAAAAAGAGCCTTTTTGATACCCATGTTGAGGCACGAGTTCACACTGACACACACACACTTTTGCCATATCACCTGCTTCTGAGGTGGCCTGAAGATTGTCCTGTCTGAGATTTTCTGTTTATTTTTTGATTGCAGTGATAGGGAGACTTATTTTAAAATGTTTTTGAACCCCAGACCAACAATTAAATCCATTCCAGAGATTTTCCAAGAGATGAGGAAAGCTGATGTTGGAAGGGTGAAACTTGCACTGCCAGATTTGTGACTGCATTTAACAAACAGTTAAATCACAACATAAAAACTCTCCTCTGAAGGTAATTCAGCTATACATCGTGGAAGCTGCATCCAGTCCGGGCTGGGCAGAGGTGGCTCCCATGGGCTCGCCCACACCCCAGTAACTGGTGAACAAGGCAGAAGCCTGTGACTCGCTGTGTTCCTCACTCACTTCAGCCACTCAGAGAATCGGCTCTTGGGGGGCAGAAGGGTCTCCAAGGGCCAATTTAAGAGCTGTTATTTTGAATATTATTTGAGTTCTGCAGGGGCTTGAATGTGAGTTGTGTGTATGCTCTCTGGAGAGCTGAGGGCAGAGAAAGACAGAAAATCTATTTTGTATCCAAAATACCTGCAGTTTTTGTTGGTTGGTTTTTTTCTTCCTCATCTTGGCTGTGTAGTTTGCAGATAGTAATGGACCATCATAAGCTCCTGGATTTTGGGGTGCAAATTTGCCTAGTCTGAGAGTCTGCCATGCACCTCCTGAGCTTGCAAGAATGCAAACAGAGGCGCCAGGGACAGGAAGGATTTTACTCTTTTTGGTGCAAAAACACTGATCTTGGAAGTCCATTTTAGAGAAAAGGGCCTAAAACAACTTCTAGGGGGAAGCAGAGCGCTTTACCCCAAAGGTGGAGGAGTACCAGCAGGTCGCTCTTCTCATCTGACATCTGTGTGGTCCTTCTTGTAGGACACCATGATGTTCCTGTGGCTCTTTGTGCTGGTGGTGGTGGGCTGGAGTAACATGTAGGTGTGTAGTGGATGGTATCCTGGGGTGAACAGCAGTGTCAGTGACTGAAAACTACAGGATAAATTATTCCTTTATACAGAAATCCCAGAATAGTTGGTAATTATAGATTGATTATAGGGCTCCATTGATTCGTTAGCAATGCAGTGGTCTCTAGGGAAAAGAACAATGATAAAAAAACACTGCAAAATGAGCAATTCAGGAGAGAAAATGATGGTTTTCTAGACAAGGTCCTGAGCAACCTGATCTACCTTTGGTTAGCATGGCCTGGTGGTACCGCTGTGTCTGCAAGCCCCTGCTCGGGTACCTCTCTGATGGCTGTGGGTTTGGTGGTGAAGCTGTGGTTGTCCTGGCTCTGGGCTTTGCACAGGTCCAAGTCTGCACTGAGGTCTCCCTGCTGCTGTGGAGGGCGTTGCTGTGGGAGGACCACCAGACACTGCTGGTTTAGCAGCATTGTTTCACTCTGGTGCTTCTGAAGAGATGACAGCAGCCTTTAGATCAGATTGAAGAGGAAAATTTGGATGACACTGTTAGCCTTTGCCAAAAGACCACCCGGCCCATCCCCAAAAACGAAGCACAGACCTGATGTTTGAGCTTGGGTTTGTGCAAGGGCACGCTGGAACAGAGGAGAAGCAGATGTGTGGCCGCTGCGACGATGGAAATGTGTTTCTCGTTGGGCAGAACAAGGCACTGGGACCGGGATCCCTTGGGACTTGTCCTGAGCCGCGCACTCTGCGTCAAGGAGGAGCATCTGCGGTGCAGAGCGGTTTCCCTCAGCTTGATGCGCTGTCAGTGCATCAGCGTGTCAGGGGTGTTTGCCCCCGTAAAGGCCAGAGGAGAGCAGAGGGGTGGTGCAATGGGGCTCTCAGCCGCTTTTGTTAGTGAGGTGGGCAGCTGCATCTGGGCAGGAGGAGAAAAACAGAAAATGAGGAGCAGATGGAAGAGATGAACTGCCAGTAGGCTTCACAGCTGACCTTTCAGTGCAGGCAGACCTTCCTCTTATGTAGCTGTTTAATGGAGTCAGATAACGTGTGGAGGGGAGAAGCAATGGTTGAGTGGTGCTTTTAGCAGCCTTGCCCCCATCCCCTCCCCTGCCCCATGTGGAAATGATGCCTTCAAACTAC